TATCCAATTATAGTATCATTTGGAAAACAATCAATCAAGGGTGATTCCAATAGCGCGCCGGTTTTGAATCGCTCGCCATTTTGTTGTGTCTTGAATGGTATCACCCTTTCGATTTGTTGTTGGTTGGTTGATTCAAAGCGGGGTCAGGCGTGCTCTCGTTTCGATTCGCACTACAGCCTTAAGGCTTATTGTGCTACCCCCTCCTGTCTTGCTTAAGCAAGTTCCCTCCTTCAATAGGATCTATTAGCTTGCTGGAAAGTTTCTCATGCGGGAGTCTCTCGCCGCGTTGTATTCCTCCAAATAAATTGTGTCTTCTGTGAGCCAGTGCTTCACAGTCATATTATGACATTGTGTAAGGCGGGGATTTCTCCTCGTCACTAAATAGTCTACATGTCGTTGGGGCATTATAGAAGACTATCACTTTTTGCACATGCGCTTTGAGATGGCAGTGTCCTGTTAGTAGTCCTACCACCCATCTTATCTAAGTACGCGTTAGTGACAGTACTTCCGCTGTTAGCATCTTTGAAAGGTTTCCGATCATCCCCTTCGACTGTCTTGCTCCAAAGGTGGACCACTGAAAGTCGAGGTGTTGATGGGTCGACTACCTTTTAACTGCCGTTTTTATAAACTGCTTCGATATCCCAAATGCGGGTTCTGGTGTTGTGTAGGGTGCAGCTGCGCCCGCTCTGGCCAGTTCAATTTCAATTTCAAAATAAGCTTTATTGTTCAAATTCCCGAGAAATTATTGACAAAGCAACAGGATTCTAATACTAATTCCTAACTATAAAGTAAGCAGTATAACGGCCACAAAAGGTATAAGATTAAACAAAAATAAAAATAAACAAATAAATAAAATACTATGCTTACATAACAAACAGTACCTAACTACAAATATTTTTAAAATAAAATCCATAAAACAGACTAGATTAAAAGGGAAACAGTGTAAAATATACACAAGACAAAATTAAAACAGAAAGAAATTAACACAAAAATAGAAGTCTGCTAAAAATTAATATAGGCAGACTTAAAAAAAAAAGAAAATATAAATAAATAAAAAAAATTGCGCAATTATTCATAAAACAAAACAACCATTGATAAAATCAGTCATAGGTAAAAAAGAGTAAAACAAAATATACACATATATAAATTAGATTAGGAATAGAATTCTTGTAGGCTGTAGTATGCCTTGACTAGATGGAACCTTTTTAGATCACGACGAAAAGCAGAATAGAATAGAATATAGAATATATATAGAAAATAGAATTTGTATTTTTTATTTCAGTATAGGGATTTCATTAAAGACCTTAACACTCCCGTAGATCACAGAGTTCTTTGTAAGAGGAAGTTTGGGTATAGGCAAGTTGCTTTATCTTAAATTATAGTTTGATTCTCTTTCAAAGCCTTGGAATTTTTTGAATATTGAACAGGCCGTTTCTAATATGAAAATGCACGGAACTGTTAAAATTTCGTGCCTAATGAAAAGTGGTTTGCAGCTATCTCTGCATTTCGTTTTGACCATGTAACAGCCCCTTGTAAGTTTTTTATTTAGCATGTCTATGTTATTGTCAAATTTGAGTTTTGCATCTATATGGATTCCAAGAAATTTCACATCTTTTGCTTCCAGGATGTTATCGTTAAGTGCAATTTCATCAAGACAACATTTAAATGAAAGAATATTTGTTTTTTTTTTATGTTCAATACAAGACAGTTTGCATCACACCACTCTTTAACCTTCCCCAAATCTTGCTCTATCATATGTGCTAACGTATCTTGGTTCTTATGTTTCCAGAGTATTGTAGTATCATCTGCGAAGATTACAAATGTTCCTGATATGGCCAGGTCATTTACGTATAGCAAAAAAAGAACAGGACCGAGAACTGACCCTTGTGAGACGCCATGTTCAAGTCTCAACGTTTCAGAGTCCTCACAATTTGATGTTCTTATAAACTGACTTCTTTCTGTCAGGTATGACTCGAACCATTTGAGTTCTCCTCCCCTGATACCATAATGACTCATTATGCGAAGCAGTATTCCGTGATTCACGCAATCAAATGCTTTGGAAAAATCACAAAACACTGCTGCTGCCTTTTCGCCATCATTAAGGCTGTTTGCCTTTTCCTTGCCTTCTATCCCCGAATGCCCAGACACCCACATGAGTTTTATCCAGTTATTCCTTGAAGACAGAGCTTCCAGATCGTGTAGGCATTGCATCGTTATCTTCGAAGTGAATCGATGTGGGTTCAGAGGTTTTGGAGCATCCTGACTGCCTGAGAGTATGCCTATATTCTGATTGTTATAACCCAGCCTTAGAATCTCCTGTGCGCATGCGTGGATTGCATGAATTTCTGCCTGGTAGATTGTGGCATTAACCCGTAACTGGTGAGGTCATTTGTTACATAACCGATGAGGTGGGGCTTGCTAAACCCCAAATGAAAAAGGCGATTCTGCTAATTCAAAATAAAAAAAAACGTGTATGTTATTCACTTTTGGGTAACATTTGTCCTTTTGGAACGCGTAGGTACATACTTTCAATAAACAAAAAACAAATATTTTAGGAATAATTCAATTTTACTGTGGGACTGCACAAAACACACATCAAAACTTATTTCTAATTGCTGGAAGTAATCAAACTGAAAATGTAGCATAAAACTTACAAAATGGCGTAAAAGTGTCTAAAAATATTTGAAAAACATTCAAGGAACAAAGTTTTACCAAAATTGTATTTCAAATAAACTTTTTGGAGAGCCCACTCACAGTGAGGTGGGGTTACGCAAACCCCAATTTGTACAAAAATCGTAATATCGCACACCAAGTAGGATATCGCGCGTTGTTGATACCGTTAGGGTACTGAAGAACAACAGACCGAAAGCTACACAGGAGGTCGCGGGTCTCCAACCATTAGTTAATACGTGGTAAAGATTCTTAAAATCTGTGGGGTTTGAGAAACCCCACTTCACCAGTTACGGGTCAAGCTCAAGAGGGATGCTTGGCTCTGGTCTTTCTCCATATACGCCAGTGCTCTGGATCGTGATACTGGCTTTGTTTTGGTTTCACTCAGAGCTAGTTCGGAATTATTTTGCACATGCGCACGTTATCAAACGTGTTTTCGTTTTTTCAGAATCGTTATCGAACTGTGTTGACAGCGTTTTGGTTTATTTAGAACTACATAAGAACAATTCTGAGATTGTTCTAGAACGGTTCTCTCAGTTCTTGCTCCGCCGAAGGAGGAACTGTTTTGGAATTTTGTGATAAGCGGCATGTTTTGGTTTTTTTGGTTCCGAATCGGTTCAGAATTAGTATTAGAACTGTTCTCCATTATTTTTTGTGCACAAGCATTCCTGCGCATTGCCAGAACCGTTCCAAATTTTGAACTAAAACAAAGCTATTGTGAATGTAATTCGAAATAAATCGATACGTCACCGATTTCAAGAATTGGGCATATAATGTTCTCCATCTCAGTAAATTTTTTTGCCGGATCTCTATTACTACCACTATGAAATTAATTAAATCTAGAAAATGCCAGCAGAGGCAAGTTGGCTAGGGTGTGAGAATACAACTGTGCACTTAACTGAAAGTTGATTCCACCTTTTAACCCGCATTGCTCACTTGTAAAGAGTTTCATGATGAGAAACTTTTCGAACAAAATGAAATCGGGAGGTTGAGAGATGATAATTTCATACAAAACAGTGCTGCCATCCAAAAATTTAAAAAATGGCGAGCATTTCAGAAACGGCATTCTTATTGTACATGAAATTATAAAATTTCATCACTTTCAATAAAAAAATCAGAAAATACAAAAACTTCAGTGTTGAAGCTAATAAAAAATAAAAATGATACCGATCTATCCTTTTATTGCACAAAGATTATTTTAAATGCCACCCTATATAATTGATCGCGTGTTGGGGTCATGCATTTGTTTAGGCGTCAGTTCTGCATATATTGGCCAGAGTTTACGTGTTGATTATTTATTGCATAGATGCAATAGCTATCGCTCAGTCGTTCTCAACATGTTAAATAAGTAGCCAACGGATGTCTTTTGACAATTAAAATATACCAAGTAGAGCAGTTTTGATTGGCCATTGGCCTAGAGCTGATTGTCATCCGTTGCTGACAAAGCCGCTGGCCAATCAGTCAACATGTTGAGCTCCATTGAACGAGACAAGTGTAGCTGAAAAAATTATGACATTTTTGTCAATTACAGAATCATTCGATTTTCTTGTTTAATAGTTATATCGTCCAAATCCCTTATAAATAAATGTATTTGTTTAAATTTTTCATTAGCTCTTAGATAAGCTCGACATTAAATACGCCTTGGTTCTAGTCATTCAAAGCAGTGGGGATCTTCTTCTTCTTCTTCATAAACCATAATTTCTCCACTGCTGTAGATAGTTCTCTTCAAATTTTATCTCTCTGATTTGAATACCTAATTTGGTCGCATACTAACGCAAATAAATATGAAATATTTTACGATTGTGTTATTTTATCGAAATCTATCCGTATTCGCATGGATTTCGAATACGGCGTCACGGATATGAGATATCATATCTGTGATTTATTAGTGAAAGGCAACCTGAAATGTAGTAAAAGTTCGCGCATTTTCATTGATGCCTATTTAGATAGTAAATAATTATCTTAGGAGAAATTTTCTCAGTAGAATGACAATTTATTAAAGTATGATAAGCATTTCAACATCCGATTGTTATTCTTAAGAAGACACACGATGTATAATGTTAAATTTACAATTTAATCAAAAATGATCTTAAAGTTAACTTTAAACCATTTGCTCTGTGCATATATTTTGACTTGACAGGTTTAATAAATTAGTTAAATTAATTTAAAGCCACTAGGTACATTCAATTAAATTTCAAGAGCCCAGTTACAGAGACATGTAAATTCAATTAAGAAAACCCTAATGTGCTTATTTTAATGCATTCTGTTGGAGGTAATTTATATGTTTTGCCATTTAGTGCACACATAGTTCATGCATTATACCAGCTTACCATAGAAAAAACGGCAACCAGCATAACATAAAAACACCCATAATAATTCCAAGTGTTCTGGCAGCCTTATGTTCCGCTCTCCAACTTTTTGATTGCTGTCGTATAGTTGTTCCTGCAAAAAAAATTATCTATGTTTGAATTCTGCATACCAAACGATAATATTAATCCAGAATTGCCAGTAGTTTGCAGTTAACCTATTTCGCTCTCGGTTAAATGCTAAATATTCTCCCTAATATATTATCAAAATAGTTAGGGTAAATTTATAACTCTGATATAAAGCGTTCAACATAATAAATTTGCTTTGTAATCTAGACGTGTCTTGCATTTCATTTTAAAATAAAATGCCAACATGATAATGAAAATTAATTTTGTGAAATTTAAAATGAGATCAGCTAGCTTCAACAAGAATAATACGTCAATTTGCATTGTTAGGCAATTTGATGCTCACTCAAATCGGAACCGAATTTCATTAGCTCCGTTTGAGACAGTTATTAAATTTGTTTGTCCTCTGTGTACTGGAAATTCTCTTGCTAAACTACTGGTTAGTTGAGCATGGTAGTTAGTTTCAGTTTAGCCTGGATTGGACATTTGAAAAAGTCAGCAAAACTTGTCAATATCATATGGTAAAATTGATCGAAAGACTGCAAATATTCACAGTTATTGATTGTAAATTTTTGGAATCAAATTCAATATCAATTGTTGGAGTTAATAAGGCAAAATCAAACTCGAATATATTAGGTACCTACCCAATATTATATACCAATAATTTGCATTAGACGCATTAATTTTACTCATATAATTCTTGCTTAACGACATGAACAGTAAACTGAACTTTATAAACTTTAAAGTCAACATACAGAGTAAAGGTCTGCTACTAAAAATACTTTTTTTTAATCTAAACTCAACAATATAAACTTTATTGCATTAATAAAATCAACGAGGCTATAAAACTTAACTTTCCCAACCTGTTTAATTAATTCAATGATAATTTCCAGGTTGCCACGTTAACATGCCATGGAGTCATTCAACTTCATAAACCTTATTTTTTTCCGGTTTTATCGCATCTATAAACTATGAACTAATAAAAACAAAAGTTTTACTGATTCCATCACAAATTTACGAGATAAGTATAATCCAATAGCATCGAATGATTAACAGTTAATTACAGAAGAGTACCTAATTGAATAAACTCAGCCGGTATATTCCTATGACATTTTGTTTCTTCACGTTATAGCTTGCTTAATGCTATTGTTTTGTTTTTTAAATATTTTGATATTTGAATATTTATTACATCTTTGGATGCTGATAGTCTGGCGACTGAAGGCCAGTCAGTGGTTCCACAGTTTCGTTACTGCAGTTTTACCACTGCTCGAGAGGAGGAGCAAATGTCTCCAGCTTTTCAGTCATTTTCAAAAGACTAGTTAGTACCTCTCGTGCCCGTTCATTCTAAACGAAAAACCCGAAAGGGGGCTCTGGGGGATCACTTGCGTCACTGCTCACTACTCAGCCCTTTTGAATTTTGCCGTTCAACCCGAAAGGTTGATCATGGTCTGTGGACAGCCGTCCTCCCAAGTCCAATATCGTTTACCGTTTTCATAAAAAGAAAGTACCTGATCGGCCATCAGGCACTAGTTAATTACCAAAATATTTTATATCGAAAGTTTTCTGATTTCCGGTTTATTTAAGTTTGAATATCGAACCCCCTCGTGGTGAGTCCTTTCCAAATTTTTTGAACGTAATGGTTGTTCCTCTTTTACTAAGGGTCTTTTGAGGAGGCCCCATTTCCAAGGAACCCCCATTTTCGTGGAGCCACATTTTTCCAGGCAGATCGTTTGGCTTGAGCTTGGGCATATATATTTTTGAGTGATTTCCTAGAGGAATCAATTTACTCACGTGTCGATACCTGCTTCTCAACATTTCCGAAGACTGTGAACTTCTAGACTATATCTACTTTGATTCAAGGCAGTTCTGTAATTTCCACCACCGAGTGACAGAAAGTGACCTGCTACCGTACTCCAACGTTTTCATTGGAATTGAGGCTTGTATAGAGTTTCAATATTAACCTCTACCTATTTTTTTATAAAATTTCTTTAATGATCAGATACCATAACTTCTTGAACTCTTACTGACATCACATTCAAAAATTTAAAATTTTAACTTCGGATTTCTGACACTGAAGTGACTGTTAGATCATTCGTGAATTTCGAGTTATTGAATCTATTATTTCATATGTTTGTTTAATTAACTTTTAGTACTGCCATGTTTTATGAATGTCCATTTTAATAATCTGAACTGGAGTCAAGGTTAGACAATATGTTCTAAATTTAAATTCATTAAGTAGGTATGCACTACATCGTCAAAAATTGATCACTTTTTCAACTGGCTTTTACTACTTATATACTTGAGGATTTAGGTTAAATTTCCTGTATACTTCCACCCTAACCTTTGATTTCATACAGTTTTAATTTGATTTTATTGCACTTATTTTATAAGCAGAGGCTGATCATAATTATCCAGAAAACATAACAGTTTTCTAGAAAATTAAAGCTATCGTGTTCTTATTTATTGCTCAAGTTGATGATATGGCCAGCAACTGTTAAGTAGACTTATGTGGCAACTACACTAGTGCATATTGTGATATTATTTTTTTGAGTTTGGTAAATCCAGTTGAGGGTTAAACTTCTATCCATTGATTTTATTTAAAGTGTTTTACCAGCAACCAGCAATTTTTCATTTTTAAATTTTACTGCTTGTCTAATTTTTATCCTCCCTACTGTGAATCTGACATCACCGTGGAAGTATACACTAATTTAATTCGAAAATTACTTGGTTGTTTTATTGGTTTCACCTATGTCAAGGTTTGGTTGAGTTGTATGCCTTTCATTGCCTTATTTATTTCTTTTTCAGAATTATCAATTACGTTTAGCTAATAATCTTTTTTTTTAGGTATGTTTCCGAATTTTCACACAGATATTTTACGTCATTCATTTATTTATCTATTTTGACATTGTCGCCCTAGCCATTCTGTACACACTATTGACCCACCCCTAATAATTATTCGCTGAGCATATTACCGGCCTCTAGTTAATTCGTTGACAAAAAGGGTTACTACGTCGAATCATTACTAAGTATTTGTGAATATTTATAAAATTTCGTTCTTCCTTTTCATTAATATAATGTATGTATTCTCTCTTACAATGGTGTATAGTAGGTAATGCTAGACGTTTGGAATTTCTCAACGGATCAATTAAAAGAGTCGTTAGTACGGTCAAAAATTAATGTGTAAAAGTAAAATGAAGAATCACAAATAGTGGAACCCGTGCTTTGATAGGACTGCTAATAAATGAGAGACTAGATGGAATTTAATTATCAATTAGTTATTATTTCATAATTATTGGAGTTCTCCTTCGATAGGTATTACAAAAATCGTGCTTACCGTTTTTCAACAAACTTTTTGATTCTTAAGCTCTAACCTTTTGCAAGATTTTAGATTAGGTATCACCTTGTGGAAGTAGTGTTTTGGTGAAATCAGTTATCAGGAGGTGAAATTTAACCCAGTTGAAAAAAGTATGCATATATCATGGAGACACCTGTCAAATCCGATATCATCTAATCGATGTTTACCCAAATTATATAAGCGGATATTCAAAATAATAAATCGTATTTCCGAATAAGTTTTTTGCAAAATCTATGAATCCGGTGCAACCGAATTGCGGTCAAAACCCATTGAGTAGGAAAATCGAAACCCGCATTTCGGTCAGAAATTTTTCTGTACCTGGAGCCTCTCTAAAGAGAGTCTGATATGTGTTTTTTTTTTGGATTTCACACATTTATAAGTGCCTTTCAGTTTGGGAAATTTTAACGTAGTTTTTTGAAATTATCCCTTACACATGCATAAGCCTAGACAGCATCAGTTCGGAAGCTTCCGGGTCAGTGAGTCTTTCCATACAGCTCTATTCGAGCGCTACTAAATTGACTGAGACTCAATTTAGAAATTCATTAATAGGTACTGAGATCAAATTATGAAAAAAACTGTCAAACTGTCAACGACCATTTTTATAATTTTATACATATTCTTACTATTTTATATAACAAACCGATCCAGAAAATTCAATAAATACCCTAAAAGAACAATACAAATTTCGGAGTCTATATCTTGAAAAGTCCGATGAAATTCCTCCAGAAATTACACAGAAGAGAGAAATACATGTAATAATTTTTTTTTTTATTATGATCTTCAGAAGAAATTCTATCATCACCGATGGAAACTGCCTTTTTCGCGCAGTGAGTCTACATCTCTATCAAACGCAAGAAAGATATTCTGAAATACGGGAGAATTCTCTTACTCACATTGAAAATTCTTGGGAAGATTTTGAAGAATTTATTTTTGAAAACAAATATGACTATTGTTCTAAAATGAAGCAAGACAAAACTTTCGGAACATCTGCAGAATGCAAAGCTATATCAGTGTATTACCAAATAAGAGTTTGTATTTATATTGTGGAGGAATCCAGGAAAAGCGGGAACATCTTCCAGTTCTCTAGACCATCAATTGAATTTTTAAATTTTTCAAAAAATTCGATTCACCTTCTTTTCTTTGGAAAACCTGATTCAGGACATTTTGAGCTTTTAACAACAATTCTAGATCCACCTCCTACTAATCCGCCTAGCCAAGAAATCTCAAGAAACAATTTTTTAAACGAAGTGCCTATGAATTCAAATAACAGATCTGAATGTCTTTTTTGTGACAAATCCTTCAAAAACCAAAGAGGTTTGAATCAACATATTCGCCTGAAACACAAACACGATGAAACTACAGATGACTCTGATGTCAATTCAGATATTGTGAATACAGAATGCTTATCATGCGGTAAATTATTCAAAGGCAAGATTGGTTTGAAACATCATATACGTTTGAAACATCAGAATAATTCAAGTTTCTCACAAGTTCCAAATTATGATATTAATTCAGAATTTTTGGTTAAATACTTATCTAGATTAAAGGAAAGTATACCTATTCTACACAGAATTCCAAAAGGTGCTCGAAAATCCATTTCTGAAGAACTCTCCTGCCTCCTTAATAATTGCGTGAAAGAAAACTCACCTCAAGCA